GCAAAGGTGACTTCAGGCCAGAGTGCAACAGCAGCTATAACAAACATGATATGGGCAAGTAAGACTAGTAAAGAATGTGAAGAGAAAAAATACTGGGTAGACACAAATGAGAAAATGGTCAATAGATGTTTCATTTCTTGCATCATCATTATTCAATCCCATGTGCTATACCATAGCTAGGGATATTTTATATATGTGTTTAAGGTAAATAGCTGAAAATGTTTGTTTAAGAAAAATGACCAGAAGGCACACAAAATCTCAGAGATTAAGATTATCCTATACTTGCAATTCTACATAGTACTGAAGAAAAAACTATTCAAAATGGAGCACTGAATAAGAAGTAATAGGCAAAGATTACTGTGGCATAAGCAAAGAAATGCGAAGGAAACAGGCACAGGAGATAATTGTATTAGACTATAGTCTACAATATGCTATATTATTCTCCATTTTCTTATATATTACTATTTATTCATTAAAATTTAAACTTTTCTTTTCTGCCCAACAAGGTCATTTGTATAAAACTGTCATCTCCTTTCACAGAGAAGATCAGTTCAATTTAGAAATTCTGTAACAAGTCAGAAATGTTTGCATTTCAGCAGAACAAGGTGGCTACATTCAGTTACTATGAATATTAGCTTGAAATCCTTTGTTTAGACACAGTGCTATTAACGTATAGCTTATATTTTCTAAACCAAACAGAGTTACTTTGGGTGAAAAAAAGACTGACTGTTTAAAACAATGTAACAAACTCAATAACAAATTCACATACAACACTAGGTGGTACTCAAGTGCTAACCAAGTCACATTCTCTTAACTCCTTATAATAGGACATCTAATCTGAGACCAACTCTTTTAGAAATCCAGCTGTGTATTTGTGTTATGCTTCCTGTAATTTACATGCTTCAAAATGCAAGTGTCAGCAAACTGACTTGGTTATTGCATTATTAAGTTTTTAAAAAATTAGAAATGTTACTGCATTGCAGCAAAAATAAAAACTTCCAAAAAAGACTAATAACATAATTACAACATGAACTTCCATGAACTACGACACACTTCATCAGATGCAGGAAATGTTTCCAGAAATTCAGATTATATATAATACCTGATACTTACATGTATGCATGTTATTAGTACCTTCTCTATTTAATTTTGTTCTGTCCATTATGAAGGCTTATTCTCTCACTGAGTACTATATAATAGAATCATAGTTGGAAGAGATTGCATGGGACATCCAGTCCAACCTCCTGCCATGCAGGAAAAGCACAATCAATGCACCCCAGACAGATGACCATCCAGCCTCTGTTTAAAAGCCTCCAAAGAAGGAGCCTCCATCACACTCTTGTGGTCAGGAAGTTTTTTTTCCTAATCTTCAGGTGGAATCTCATTTCCTGTAATTTGACCCCATTGCTCCAAGTCCTATTCTCCAGGGCAGCAGAAAACAAGCATGTTTCTTCTTCCTTATGACATCATTTCAAATATTTGAACATGGCAATCATGTCTCCTCATAGGGCAAGGTCTCCATACCTTTGATCATTTTAGTTGTCCTCCTATGGACACTTTCCAGCTTGTCAATATCCCTCTTGAATTATGGTGCCCAGAAATGGACACAGTATTTCAGGTGATACCTGACCAAAGCAGAATACAGTGGGATTATGACTTCCCTTGATCTAGACAATATTCTCATTTTGATATAGCCCAAAATCCCATTGGCTTTTTAAGCTGCTGCATCATATTGTTGGCACATGCTTAATTTGTTGTGCACTAATGACCTCATAACACTACCTTAATTCCCCATCGTAGGACACTTCCTCAATGCAGCCAGCATGGAGCCCACCAGATCTCATCCCATGACGTACATCTACTTCTGATGGGGCTGTGTGCCAGCTGTGTCAAGGAAGCATGGTAGGAGGGGAAAACCTGAATATGGGAGACTCCCCATATTCAACTTAAGAATCATTGAGACAACACAGGATCACACTGGAAAGCAATGCTTTATGGCATGTGATGGGCAAGTGGCAGTTGAAATGAAGATCTGATTATAGAGGATGATTAATTGGTTTTTGAATCTACATGAATCTCTTCTTCCATGTGATTTTTTGTGTGCCAGAAGCACCTTGAGAAACTGCGAAGACGCTTCTGGTGTGAGAGAATTGGCCATCTGCCCAGGGGATGCCCAGATGTTTTACCATCCTATGGGATGCTTATATCATGTCCCCGCATGGGAAGCTGGAGCTGACATTTGGGAGCTCACCCTGTCTCACGGACTCACACTGCCGACCTTCAGGTCAGCAGTTCAGCCAGCACAACAGTTTCATGCATTGCACCACCGTGTACTCTTTCCTTGTGATTTCCCAAAGTGATGTCAACTCTGACCTCAGGAGAAAGCAAATCGAAAAGCCTCATTGTAAGGCATGCAAGGCTGGGGAAAAAAAAGCTATATATAGCATTAAAAATAAATCTTCTGATTCTTTACTTTGGGATGGCAGCATCCATGAGAGAGGTAAAGGTATGAAGCAAAATTCATTTCTAATGCGGTCCACTCTCTGAAATGTTTTCCAAGAATACAAGAATTAATAATCTCTAATCTACTTGATATTAGAGTGCATGTGGCACAATCACTGATTAATCTCATCATTGTATATGTAAAAAGCCAGTCCAAATACTACATAGGGCCAAACATCCAAGGTGCAATTTTTTTCCAATACATAAATCAAGGAAAAAAATTATACAAATGCTCCAGTCATTACTTCCTCGCGTCCTTTTTGGTGATCACATCGATATTTTCATAGAACAAAAACAAATGTGAGAATTGGCTTAAATCTAAAGCATAATACAGAAGCTAGATTGGCAGAAAAAACATCACACTTGTCAACACATGTCCCTCTCTCTTTAAGCAAAGCAGCAGCATCCCAAAATAAACTGCAGCAGGGAACCCACACAATGGCCATGTTAAGCTTATCCTACTTCTGGAGCATAGAAAATCTGTATTTTTCAAACAAATAGATTGCTTATGTATGCTCTTTTATGGAAAAACATTGAAAGTGGTCTAGAGGCTTGTAACACACAGAGGCAGAGAAAGAAGGTTAGGAATAAAAGATAAAGATACTTTATGTTTTTTCAAAAATCATAAATTATAAACAAAAAATGGGAAAAGGCTCAAAGGATGGTCATCAGTCACAAATGAATATAAGGCAGAAATGTGCTAATGCTAAAAACATAGCTCATGAAATTGCAGTCTCTGTCAATATAAATATTGGATTGTTGTAGGTTTTTCAGGCTGTATGGCTATGTTCTAGAAATATTCTCTCCTGATGTTTCGCTTGCATCTGTGGCAGGCATCCTCAGAGGTTGTGAGGTCTGTTGGAAACTAGGAAAACTGGGTTTATATATCTGTGGAAAGTCCAGGGTGGGAGAAAAAACTCTTGTCTGTTGGAGCTAGGTGTGAATGTTTCAATTGGCCACCTTGATTAGCATTTGATGGCCTGACAGTTTTTAGGTGTGCCTTGTTACTGCCTGGGAGAATCCTTTACTGAGAGGTGATTAGGTGTTCCTGATTGTTTCTTCTCTGGAGTTCCACTGTGTTGGAGTTTTGTTTTTTATTTACAGTTATAATTTTAGAGATTTTTCAAAACTCTTTCTGGATTTTTTTACCTTGTTTGTAGAGGAGACCAGGTTTAAAGCTTCTTAAAGCTCTTTAGAGGAGATGCAGGCACATGGCTTTCTCCTAGGATCAGCAGTATGCCAGGCAGCTTTCCAAGGCATTTTAAGGAGGCCCAGGGAAGGAAGAGTGATGACCTGTAGCTCAGTGGAGCTAGCTATCCTCCCTGAACTACCTTAAAAATCCTGTTTTCTCTACTACCTGCAACCAGCTTGTGCTTGGGGTTTTGCTTCCTTAGAGCTGTTTCTACTTTCTACTTTAAAAGTAGGCTTCTCTTTTTGTTTGCTGGAAGTACTATTATTAATATTAATAGGCCCTGCTCATGATCCCACCTGCGTCGCAAGCGCGGTTGGTGGGGACGAGGGACAGGGCCTTCTCTGTGGTAGCCCCCGACTCTGGAACTCTCTCCCCAAGGACATTAGACAAGCCCCAACGTTGGCAGTCTTCAGGAAGAGCTTGAAGACGTGGCTGTTCCGGTGTGCCTTTCCAGAATAGGAAGCTCCTAGCATCATGTCCCAAATGCACTTTACTAGAGATTTAAGATTGTCTGCACACCGCACCTACCTCTAAAAACCTATACATTTCACCTGTCATGTCCAGCACTTTTAAATTTTATTCATTACATTTGGCCCGGCCTTAGTTTTAAATGTGTTGTGGTGTTATTGTTTTTAATGTTTATTATTATTGCTTTAATTTTTTGTTTTGCTTTATGAGTTTTATTGTTGTATTTGTTATGCTGTGTTTTATTGAGGGCCTTGGGCTTTTGTAAGCCGCACCGAGTAAATAAAGATAATAATAATAATAATAATAATAATAATAATAATAATAATAATCCTTTAGAAATGTGTTCGGAAGGAGAGGAAGGGAAGGAGAAAAAAGAAGCTAAAAGTGTCAGAGTGACTCTCCAAGCCCTCAAATGTACTCACACCCCACCCACCATCACTCAGGTCCCCAACTTCCAGTCAGTCCCACTAAGAGTGACTCTCCAAGCCCTCAAATGTACTCACACCCCACCCACCATCACTCAGGTCCCCAACTTCCAGTCAGTCCCACTAAATAAAAAAGAATCAGGAAATTCAAAAATATTCAACTATGATATCAAATAGGAGCCCTGATCAGCTGCCATGTGGTCCTGTTTCAGATGGGAATCCGTAACGGTTTGGTCCTTGCTGTTTTGGGCTCCTGATCAAAACTGATAAGCCAAATGACTGAAGGGACTAGCTAAAATGGATCTTTGCACTAGCCTAGTTTCTACAGCACTGGATTAGAGATGGATATTTGCTAGTGTGGATGATGCTAATTGAGATAATCATCTACAGGGTCATCAAAACCTTACATCTGATGGAAAGGTAAAACCAAAGTTCCATTTTACTAAAGACATATGTATTTTGCATACACACATATACATCACATATTTAAAAGCATCAGTATCAAGACACTTTACTTCCATGAAATATTTTTATATAGAGACATAATATAGTATTAACAACTATGAAAAAACATTACAAAAAGTTTTTAATTTAACAAATAGAAAAATATGACTAGCTTATATGGCAATTATGACTCTCATATTGTACAGAAGTAATTTGTGGAGTTTACAAATAAATTATCGTCTGAATGCCCTCCTTTTTAAAGTGTCCACTGAAATGTTTTAGTCGCTCAGATGCTTCTCTCCATAACTTGTCACCATCTTCAGTGCCAGTCAAATGTTCTGCCAACAAGTTCAAAGAATTTCTGATTTGGCTCACGAAAGTATCTGTGTAGTTTTTCAAGTAAAATGGGATCTACTATGGGGTGTGCTCTTCCTTTTGATTCATGTAAGCATCGATCCCTACCACTGTCCCTTAGGCAGTAAAAGCCTTTTGTTTTATTGAAGTAAAAGTTTGAAGCATTAATCTGAGGTGTCAGCTTTAAAAATTCTTCTACTTTGACGATTTCTGAGAAGGGATCTTTGATTAGTTTATCTCCATCTACAATGTGAATGTAATCCAGAGAGAAATACTTCAGCCAATTTTGCATGTGAACATAATACAAGCTCCTGTTTATTGCTTTATAATTCACATTGAGTTCACCATCTTTAACCAGGAATTCTTCTATAGAAGGATAGGGCTTGTGTTTTTGCACATGATTGAAGAACACTTGTGTGTAGTCTGACAACACCCGCTCTGTTGGGTCTCGTAAAATAAGGAGTAATCGGGTAAATTTATTCATCTTATAAACCCTTTCAGGCACTTTGGAAGAAGTGAAATATGCTGGTGTTTTTTCCACCGTTATCTGGTGGATGTCAGAGAACGGCATTTGGTTAATGTACCATTGTAAACCCTTGCCGTAATGTTCTTCCCAATCAAAGAAGTGGACTTCGCTTTCGGCTGCTGCTATATCAGGATGGAGGCTTAACATCTCAAGTAAGGCTCGTGTTCCACCTTTCCGAACACCAATGATGATAGTTTGAGGAAGTTGCTGGAGTGTCTCATTGGGATGAATCCAATCCTTGAAGTCCCTTTTCTTAAATGATTCTTTTGGGGTTGTTGATTCCACCTTCGAGTTGGCCGTTGGTCTAGAAGGCACCACCTGAGGCTGAACAATAAGTAGTGCTGCTCCTAGAAGGAAAACTGCCATGGCAGAGATGCGGTCTTTTCTCAAAATATCAGCATACATTATATGAAGAGACCATCATCAGGAAATGGAAATCCTTACGAGAAATACTCACTGCAGGAAGAAAGAAACAAAATGTAAGAGGTTGGTTAGAACTGCTAGTTCAAAGAACCTGTCTGTACTCAATATAGTATATCCTCGAGTATAAGTCTAGTTTTTCACCCCTTTTTTTAGGTTGAAAAAGTCCCCCTCAGCTTATACTTGGGTGAAAGTCCTGGTGGGAAGGCGTGAGTCTGAAAGGAGGGCTTCTTCCAGTCCCACGCCTTCCTGCCAGGACCCTCACCTCTCTGGACAGCAACCCAGCTCTCCTTCCTCTCCTCCTCTCTTGAGCAGTGTGCACTTTTTATTATTATTATTATTATTATTATTATTATTATTATTATTATTATTAAACTTTATTTGTACCCTGCTAGCATCTCCCAAAGGACTCGATGTGGCTTACAAAGGCCAAGGCCTCAACACAACAACAGCAAAACAATAACAATACAATCCAAAGCATATTAAAAATTAAAAACATAAGCAATAAAAAACATTACACCATTACACAATAAAACCAGGGCTGGTCCAATGATGGGTACAGGTTAAAAAGTGCTGGGTGTGACAGGTGGTATGTTGGGATTCTGGGCAAGCGCAATGTCCAGAGAGTCTTAAACTCTAATAAAGTGCTTCTGGGACATAGTGCTGGGGGTTATCCTATTCTGGAAAGGCACATCGGAATAGCCAGGTCTTCAAGTTCTGCCACCGTGGGTGCTAGTCTAATGTCTTTGGGGAGGGTGTTCCAGAGTCGGGGGGCAACCACAGAGAAGGCCCTGTCCCTCGTCCCCACCAAACGCACCTGCGACGCAGGTGGAATCGCGAGCAGGGCCTCTCCGGATGAACAAAGGGAGTGCGTGGGTTCGTAAACGGAGATGCGGTCACGCAGGTAGGCACTTTCCTCTTCTCCTTTCTTGTGCTTCCCATGCCTCCCTCTCTTCTCTCTGTGCAGCATGCGCCTTCCTCTCCTCATCTCTCACAGCTAATCTTTCCCACTTTTCCTTATTTATAGAAGGATAGGGCTTGTGTTTTTGCACATGATTGAAGAACACTTGTGTGTAGTCTGACAACACCCTCTCTGTTGGGTCTCGTAAAATAAGGAGTAATCGGGTAAATTTATTCATCTTATAAACCCTTTCAGGCACTTTGGAAGATGTAAAATATGCTGGTGTCCCCCCCCCCCCCAAAATGTATAGTTAAAATAAACTATTGTGATTATTGGAAGGATATGAAAGCACATTGACAATGAAGAAGGTTAGAATAATGATTTAATCTGAGTTGCATAAATTACAGTTTTATGTAAATATTCAAAAACATCTAGCCTACTGATGCCTCAATTAATGTAATTTTATTGGCATCTATTTTTATTTTGAAATTTACCAGTAGCTGCTGCATTTCCCACCCTAAGTTTTCCCAGTTTTTTGTGGTAAAATTAGGTGTCTCAGTTTATATTCAGATCGGCTTATACTGGAATACATACATTTTGGTCATGTCAGGAGCGACTTGAGAAACTGCAAGTCGCTTCTGGTGTGAGAGAACTGGCCATCTACAAGGACGTTGCCCAGGGGACGCCCGGATGATTTGATGTTTTTATCATCCTTGTGGGAGGCTTCTCTCATGTCTCTGCTTGGGGAGCTGGAGCTGACAGAGGGAGCTCATCCACCTCTCCCCGGATTCGAACCTGCGACCTGTCGGTCTTCAGTCCTGCCAGCACAGGGGTTTAACCCACTGCGCCACTGGGGGCTCCTAGTACATACATTAAGTGCTAAGAAATTTGGTTCTTAACTTTTTTTGTATATATGAATATACAACTACTCCTGCAACATTTATTAGAATCATAGAATCATCGAGTTGGAAGAGGCCTCATGGGCCATCCAGTCCAAATTCCTGCCAAAAAGCAGGAAAAATCACATTTAAACACCCCCAACAAATGGCCATCCAGCCTCTGTTTAAAAGCCTCCAAAGAAGGAGCCTCCATCACACTCCGGGGCAGAGAGTTCCACTGCTGAACTGCTCTCACAGTTAGGAAGTTCTTTCTAATGTTCAGGTGAAATCTCCTTTTCTGTAGTTTGAAGGCATTGCTCCGTGATGGATGGTTCCATGAGGTACAATTCATTTCAATTTTTCCTTGATAGTAAATTTTCCAAATTTCTTTTTGCCTAGCTTAAAAGTCTCCTTTATTCTACCACCCTGTACTCATTTCCCAACAGATGCAAGGAGAATTAAAAGAAAATAATAGTTTAAAAGTGATAATAAAAGAAGTCATTGAGTCCTTAGCGCTTATAGTGCTAACTAAACATATTCTATATAAATGTCCATGAAATCATGTCAAAGTATGGATGACTGCCAAGATCTGCTCATGCATTATGGTTTCAAAGTCCTTCTAATAATATGTAGTGTTCTAGAATGACAGCTCAGCAGAAAACCGGTTGCCATTGTGAAGGAAATGCAAATTTGACTGTTAAGAGGGGTATTATTGGAAATCGTAGGAAATCGGAATTAAGAGTTAAGCAACATTATTTTTTAGTTTATTATTGTTTCTGTCTTACATTTGTATTCATAAAAGTTAGCCTACTATGTATTGTAGACAGTTCCATGAGAAACATTTTAAAGATTTTAAAAATTGGATATATAGAGATATGTTTATTGATTAGTCCACTGACCGTATCAACAATAAAAGACAAAAACAAAAACATAAATAGACACCAATCACTATGCTAAAACTCCTGCAATAGCTAAAATAAATTAAAACGTGATAAAACCTGATTTGGGAATAATTTTGGGATAAATTTGGGAAAATGGGATTAAATTACAAGATGAAAGCGGAGGGAGTAGAGTGACGAGTGTAAAGGAGTCAGTCAGAGAACCTACATAAGTTCATCCCCATGACAAGGGACCCCATTTTTGTGAAATAAAGAGATTTCTCAGGTGCGGGGTTTTTATGCTAAATTTGGCTATGCAGCAGACTAAGTGTAGATTCTCCCCAGAAAGAAAATAAGACAGTTTGATAATTGATCCCCAGTTAGTTGTTCTGACCAAAAACTGATGTAAATACTGAGATCTCACAATCAAATAAAATATGCACATTGTCCTCTATGGCTGATGCACCACAGATGCATGTTCTTTCATGGTAAGATATTTTTGAAATTGTCCTGTTCTTATCAAAGAATTAAGTTGCTTGAATCTATTCTGATAAAAGCTATTCTCCATCCCTGTGTGAGGTTCATCCTAAGGTACTTTTCTGTGCCAAATGTTTCTTTGTTTTTGGCTAACCGGTTTAGAGATTTTAAGCCAGCCAGCAAAGCTATATCTGTTTGTGCACTGATAGCCAGAACTCTTTGTGGTATATAGAAGAAGAAGGAAACAAGCCAACTGGATATCAGGATGTTTATTTTCTTTGCTCCTTTCTTCTTGAACCAATTCGTCAATAAGAGGATGTATAATCTTATCTTAGGTTTACTCTTGGCTCCTTGATGAAGGACTGTATATGAAAAGCATTGTGTGTTTGGATTTGAAAAAGAAAACAATGTTTGATAAAGTCCTTCAATAAATGTTCCAAACTAAATGCGAAAGTTAAGGGATGAGATTAAGGAACATGAAGACCAGCACAGAAGATGATTAAATGAGTAGTTTTTATAAGGGTAACTGTGCTCCATGCAGTCATGCCACATGACCTTGGAGGTGTCTTCAGACAACGCCAACTTTTTGTCTTAGAAATGGAGATGAGCACCACCCTCCAGTTGGACACGACTAGACTTAATGTCAGGGGAAAACTTGACCTTTACTTTTATAAGGGAAGAAGATACAAAGTGGATTATCCCAGGGTTTGTATTGGGATTGTTGTTATTTAATTTGTTTTGGGTTCAGAGCTGATTCCCCACTGAGATATGAAGAATTATAGACAGTGCAACATGGAACAATATGGACCTTGTCTTCATTGGTTATATCAATAACATGGGACACTGAATTGGGCATCAACCAACTTGCTGTTGATCAATGAACTTGAAGCTTTGGGCGACTGTTAGAATCCTTGAAATGAAGGGAACCACATGACCAAAAAGCCTCCTAGTGACAGCCTCCTCTGCCACCAAAGGGTGCTGTCAAGATCCTGACTGACCCCAATATCAGGGACAGACCTACTGCTGCAACACACATTCAAGTTCCATAAAGAGACCCTCTTACTCAAGGGGTATTACTAATCTATGTCCTAGTTCCAGAATCCATGCTAACCACCCAAAAAGTTGTGACAAAGTAACATGTAAGTACAATAACATGACAAACTGCAATACAGATAGGGTGGATAAAATGGCGCTCAGCAAGCAACTGCTAAAAGGTTGCTCAGGCAGTTGCTTATACGCTACAGTACCCAACTGGAGTCAAGCCTGCATGGTCATTAGTTGGTGGTCTTTGCTTCTTCCAGCACGTGCTGGAACTTAAGAATGGAAAACGGAACGTTGGCGGACAGGAAAAGAAATTTAAAGATGGCCTCAAAGCCAACCTTAAAATCTCTGGCATAGACACTGAGAACTGGGAAGCCCTGGCCCTTGACCACTCCAGCTGGAGGTCAGCTGTGACCAGCAGTGCTGCAGAATTCAAGGAGGAATGAGTGGAGGGTGAAAGAAACGTGCCAGGAGGAAGGCGAGTCAAGCCAACCCCGACTGGGACCGCCTTCCACCTGGAAACCAGTGCCTTCACTATGGGAGAAGATGCGGGTCAAGAACAGCCACCCACGAATCCACAAGGAAACCCATCATGGAAGACCATCTTACTCATCCAACAAGGGATCGCCTAAGTAAAGTAAGTAAGTAAGTAAGGTCACTAGTTGGACCCTTCCTAGCCACTGAAACTGAACCATTGGCTGTTAGTTTCCGCTTTGCCCCAAGGGCACAGAAAAACATCATGGGCAACCTAAGAGGAAGATACACATTGGAGGGAAGAGCTGTTAGTGGTCAGAATGCTCTAGACTATCTGGTCTTACAATCTTCCCTAACCAGTGAGTCATGTGGACTTTTTCATAAATC